AGTGAGAGAGAGTGGAAACTGGTTAAATTTACTCCCCGAGAGTTAAAACATCAAGAAAAACGAAAATTAATAAATATGTAAGACTCGGCTGTCCTGAATTCCGAATCAAGGCTTCCTTCACAGCTGGCAAAGACCCAAAGCCAGCCAGGCAGATTTTTATTCTAAGGAAAATGATTAGCTAGTAAAAGAGACTCTGCACGTTAATTCTAGGAACCGAAGAGATGACAGAGAGATTTCCGAGCTTAGGCTTGAGCGGAAGCGAACCGGATTTTACGGATCCGTGCCAAGATGCTGCCCGAGATCTCATCCCTCGTGTTCCTCTGCTCCGGTAACAGTGCTCTCCCTGCACTCAAATCTCCAATAAATCAGCATCAAAGGCAACGACGTCGCCCAAGTGCAGCCAGAGGATGGCTCCAAGGGAAGGATAACGCCGGAGGAACCCAGAGCAAGCGGTGATGTCACTGCAAATCCCAAGGAGCTGGTAAGGAGCTTATCTGAGGAGCATAATAACCAGCACAAGAGAACAAACCCATACCTTGCAAACAGTTGTTGCTAGAGCCCAGCACATAACAGGATCAAGATGCCACATCTGCTATAATTCCATCTTGCACACAGTTCTGAAAAGTCTTAGGGTTTTTTTTTTTTTCCCTTTAATCCTACCCATCTTCTCCAAAATAATTGCTAATATCTTAGAGGGGCTGGGAAGAATAAGGAGAACAGAGAGCAAGAACCAGGTGTGTTAGTACTTTCATAGGCATTTACTTTTTCAGCAAGGAAAGCAGTACCTCTTCCTGTTGATTACAGACCAGTGGTAGCTTATAATAATCAAAAAAATGAGGTATAAAACCTTCAATATGGGAAACTTGTCAATTAAAAATGAGTGTCGTTTCTAAATCCATCTCTGTCAATTATGGAAGCTGATGATGTATCAATGCAACAAGTGCAGAAAGAAGCACAAAAAATACCATTTGCTTTTAGCCTACAAAATGCTATTATATGGATTATACAGCTGACTCTTACATGGATTATCTCATGGAATGAACACCCGATACCACCGTTTTAGGGTACGCCACAGTCGGCCTCTGCTCCGCTCTAAGCACCAAGAGAGAAAGGACCACCTCCATCAAGTGCCAGGCAACAGGAACATTTTCAGCAAGGAAAAAAGAACTGCCAGTATTTTATACCCCATCCTCTATAGTCCAAGAAATTCCAGCACGTTATTCCCAGCAGCATTTCAATATAAAGCACGCTGTAAAGCAACGCCTGGTCCGCTGCAGCTCGCAACTAACTCCTTTACTCCCCAGAAAAGCCACGTGGCTTTTCTCTGGCAGAAATTCCTGCAGAATTCAGAGGCTGTGGAGAGCTCTGTTTTTTGAAATATGCTGAGGCACAAACGAGGACGTGGTACAGATGCTGCAATGCAGCATTTAACAGCTCCCACACCGAACAAACACATCCTCTGCAAGCACAACTCTTTCTAATTGAGGTTGAGCTAAATTTAAGTTCTATTTGGTTTCCTTTCAGAGGGAAAAAAAAAAAAAAATCAAGGGAAGAAAGTCTCTCTACCTACAAAGGGAACAAGGTCTCTTCATGAGTCAGGGATTATGCTGAATCTGCAGCATCTGGCAGCTCTGTAAAACAAACCAGCGTGGCAGGTGTCAACAGCACCCAACCAACTGGGAACATCTCTCGGGGTGATGGAGAAACAGCTACTCCCTGCTGAGCTTGGTCTGCTTCCAAATGATGCTTCACTGGCAGGGGAAGTCTTCTAAACCCAGAAGGAGCCAACAAACGAATAACACACCAAAATTAAACAGAGACAAGCCTCTTAAGGCATGGTCCACTGGGTGACTAGAGCCGACTGGAGAAATATTGTCCAAACCAACATACTTGAAGGGAGCATCACCACGACCTTTGCTAGACTCAGACCTGACAGACAAGACAAAAATCCCTCACATAAAAGCTGGTTTTACTCCTACAGGTACCAGCCCATCATTCAGTACTGACACATAGAAGAGGAACCAAAAGGACAGACTGCTGTTGCTTTCCCTCAAAGCTTTCACTCAACACACCTATGCACACCCCAGCTACCAGGAGCACCGTGGTTCCTAATTCCCATTTTTCAGAGCAGCTTGGAACACAGATGACTTGGAAAAGTAATCCTGTGATCTGCCCATGACTCAGATCCTCATCTAAGAAGCTGGACAATGATGCTTCCATCCCCTCATCGCTATCTTGTCCACCAGAGCCTTTGGGAAAGGACTGTTTCACACCACGCAGAGGTGTAACTCCCACCACAGAAGGGCCCCACCACCATCTGCAGAGCTCAAAGCGCCAGCACACTAAACTGGAATTAAAAATAAACCGACCAAACCCAAACCCCAGACACTGCCTGTCTCCAGTTGCCAAGCCCAACAATCCCTGCAATCCCCAACATGAATCACCAGGCACACAGAAAGATTTTAAGGTACAGTACTCACCCCTACCGCTGTCATCGCAAACATCTTAAACTCCTCACCTCCCTCCCTACACCTGCTTAAACTGCACTGAATTTAGGCTTTGCCAGCTTCCCAAAACTTATGGGAATTAACAAAATTCCTAAGAGAACTCCAGTTTGGTTCAGTATCGCATTTCTGAGGAGCACACAAAAGCTTCTGCTGCTCAGTTCAACCCCTGTGGACAGTGTCGTTTTCTCCTCCAGCCCTGCTAAATCTTTGAGCATTGGAGAGCAACCTACCAAAATGAGCATTATCCTACACAAATCTAGGAATGTAGTGGGTCTTTTACGTTCTTCTGAACTGAGATGTTTCCTGTTGTAACCCCGAAGCATCAGCAGTAGGTACCATGCACAGACTTCAGCTACAGCACTCTGTGCTCCTATAAAAATATTTATGGTGTAGTTATGAGGTGGAGGAGCAGGACAGCATCTCTGCTTTATCTAATCCAACTTAGGGTCTCCTGGGACATCTCAGCCCCCTTTCAGCAGATCGGTGCTGCAGCTGGCTCCGAGGCTGAGGAACATTAATGCTCCACAACGAGGGAATCTTAAAGTGCTGTGCATGCACGGAGCTTGATTCACAGGAACCCAGAAACGTGGCCATGAAACCAACCCTGGGGATTACATCACTTGGAATACAGGTCAGAGAGCTGAATCACACAGGAGAAAAAAAAAAACAAACAATCCTGCTGCGTGAAATGGAGACGTGCCCCTGTTAGCAACGTTCAAATTGGAGCTGCTTCACTCCAGGGAGTTAGGAAAGAGTTATTAAATCAAGGGTGAACACGACTGGTAACTTCTCAGATGAAGAGACCTCTTTAGTGCAGCTCTGTCACAGTCACTTGGTTGCACGTGATGGCAGGGGAGGGACCAGAACAAGAAGTGAGCTCCTAGAGAACGTCCAACAGGAGCCTCCAGTGGAGTTGGAAGAGTTTAGTCCAGCTCAGGATGCGTTTTCTAATGCTAAATAAAATGCATATCCCTTAAAGCCAGGGGAAGATGACAGCACGGAGGGCAGGGAAAAGCTTTAATTATTGCTGACTTGTGCCAAACTAAAATGGACAGGAGGAAGGCTGGGGATAAACGAGAATTCTCTCTTTCCCATTAATGAGCTCACTCTGCTGGCACGTCTCCTGCCCTCCAAGATTGCTCCCACAACATGAATATAAAACCAGCTCTATAGCTACCCGGTGGTGTAAACTACCTACTCCTGATGTAGTTCTTACATACGTTACTGCTGGTTTCTGCCTCCAAACCATCCAGTTTCTGTCTCTCTGACGCTTTTCGAGCCCCAGCAATGAAGATCTCGACTGGTTCCAATGAACAAGCCAGTGAGCCTTGCCACAGACCAGATTCCACAAGAAGCAGCTCATGTTTTTCACCAACTGGTAGTAAAACATTTCAGACAAGGGAGTGCACACTGCTGTTTCCAACTGAACCAGTTGGAAAAAGCACATAAACCAGCTCCCCACCCTTCACCACCCCCTTCCCAAAAGGTGCTCACATATGAACGAGGAGTCTGAAGTACCACTGAAAAACAAATTTAACAGAGAAACTCCTTTCCTACCCTACACATGTCACTTCTCCTGCAGCCCGCACGCAAACTGGGAGACATCAGATTAACAGCTTGGGCATAAGAGGGCTACTGCAAAATCCACTGCATGAGGCAAGGAGCAAAAATACGAAGTAGAACACGCTGATGCAGCCAGTGCTGCTACACCCATCACTAATTTCCTGATGGTTTTCACTCCTGGGCAAGCTGGCTGCTCCACACCGCTTTTTAAATAACCCTCAGCATGGGCTGTTTATGGGAATGACCTCAGCTGGTGAACTGGGAAAGAATTGGAGTGCTCTGTTTGCTACTCAGCAACGCAGGTACCTCCCTGACTTCACAGCGAGAGGGTAGGAAACAGCACGTGCAAGAGTTCATCCGAGGAAGAGTAGTAACAGTTGTGTCATTTTTTTCTTGGAACAGACAGCTCTTCTCTGCTACCTCCCTAAGACAACGATCAGAAGGTGAAAGACATCAAGGCGAGCTACAGAAAACTCACCGTAACAAACAGAGAAAAGTAAGCTGTGACAAAACATAATATCCAGTTAATTCCTGTAAATGTTGTGAAATTAAGGGAAAAGGCAGATGAAGAATTTACACTGCAAATTGTGCTAGAATCATACAAAGGTACTGAGTTAGAGAAATGCATGGATTTAACACACCAGTTGATTATTCATTGACACTGACACATAAATAAGGTGTATTTCCCTGAAAAAAAATATTTGTTTGAAGACTTCAAGAGGCTGAGAACTCACCTTCAGTAGTTCAGTCCATCTTGAGTGCTCTCACATCGAGCCACGATGCTTCTTATTAGCATCAGCCTCAACTTATCTTTCAGCCATCTGTTTGTGTCACACCCTTCTAGTCTAACAACTCGCCCTTTGCTAGATACGATCACCCCAAAATAAGATTCCCAACAGAGGAAGAACTCAAGAATGGATAGTTTCTTACCGTCATGGCCAGAGTTGAGAAGATGCTCTCCCAGGTCACAGCCAAACACCCTTTCCTTCAGGATTCCCCGCTGTTTCAGTTTCTGTTTCGTTGGGCGCGACTTCATGAATGTACGAAGGAAGGTGATGAGCTTACCGTGTTTTTTTGACACTGCACAACGAAATAAAAAGCCACACACTTCATTTTAGATTGGGCTCAGCTGGGCAAGGAAGCATCACATGTTCTACAGACCACACAAAAACCACAGTAACGTTAATATCGATTATTCACAGAAACAGATTTCCCAAGGTCCAAAACTAAACAGAGACTTGGCTCTTGTTCCAGTTCTTGGCTAGTGCTGAGATAACAGGAGCCAGCTGTCACGGAAGAATTGAACACAAAGACACAGTTATCTGCAAAGCAGCTTCAGGTGGGAGCGTACTCAAGCTCTGTCACAGCGCATCGGATGGTGGGCAGCACCTGAGAGCTGCAGTTTTCATCTCCAGCAAAAGGAAGGAGGCTGCACTAACAAAACCAGTAGTCTCACCTACGTTGACAAACGCACCATCTGACCTACAAGCAGAGATAAATGCTTTGTTACTGGCTCTCGTTTCAGCAGTCTTACTCCTTTGTTCTAGAGGTGTGTGATATCTGAACTTGGAGGACTCCCTGAATCTTCTCAGGCCTTTGCAAAATAAAAGCATTTCTGTCTTTGGTTTATTCAACAGAAAACTAAGGCAGCTGATCTGAAGAGATGCAGTTTTCCCCCTCCAAAATAAACACAAGTAGCTTACAAAGAGACGGGAGGATAGCTCAGGAGTTGCCCCTCCAAACCTCCCGCTCCGTTTCTCCACGCGATGCGTTACGGTGGTGAAATGGGTCACTCTTCAACCCATCCAGTCCCGCCAAGGAGCATAACCCAGAGTTGAAAACGGGAAGCAACACAGGGCAGAAGCGGGTGACACAAATAAACTCATGCAAATGGGGAGGAGAGGCTGGGCACGGGTTTGAATGGGAAGCAGAACAAATGCCCTTGGATATCAACTTTTCTTCCCGAGGCCCCGCTCTCCGGCCTCCCAACAAAAGCACCATTGTACACATGATTTAAAAGCAGTTTAACTTCAACAGAAGAGCTCTACTGAAAGAACAAATCCCTAGGTATAAAAGGCTGGGCTTTGTCAGGAAGCCTTTACAGCTCCAGGAAGTTGTAAAGGCTCCCGCAGCACCGCGAGGCAATAATCGCTCTGCCCCGCTCCTGTCTCGGATCCAGAGAGGAAAGACAACTGTAAATTTCAGCCCCATTAAAACCAGAAGTGCTGTAACCAGATTTCAGCAGAGGAACCCTACTTCAAACAAAGGAGAAAAGCAAGGAAGACCAACAGTGACAAAGGCGCATCACTTCGGTGTCGCTGCTGCTCGGTAACACGCGCAACCTGGAATTCTGTGAGTGGCTTTGGAAGTTGGGACTCAGCAAGAGAGAGGTTTGTGCTGTAATGCTTCATACAGGGTGTTCTTCAACCAGACAACACGAAAAACCTTGTCCCAAGAACCAGGTTACACCCCGCTATGCTTCATGATGTTTTAATCCCTTTAAACGACTGAGTATTTCCCTTCTGTTTCACCAGGTATTGATGCAGTCCCTCTATTTATAATAAACCTGATTCCAATGACTTCCAATATTTCTGTCTACTAGTAGAGCTGTGCTTTTGGATAAAGTCCCTTTTAGCAGCGTGATCCGCAGCAGCCAAACACATCTGAATACCCGAAATCCTAAAATCTCCAACAAAACCCACGTCTGCATTCTCAACAATCAAAATCGAATCATTCAACGAAACGCAGAAGCATTGAGCACGACAAACTGTGGCTATGGGGGCTTTAATTAAAGGAATGTTTTCAGTTTGACGAGTTTTTTTTTAATTACACACACTAAACGAACAGCTTGTGCTGACATGCCAAACGAAGTTAGGATAGATTTTGGTTGCGTCCATCATCACAGTAAAGTAACGGCTCATTTGTCACCTCCTATCTGCCCCACTCAAAAATAAATGGAGATGGAGTCTCATCCTGACCTGTGTGGAATTTCAAAGGGTTTGCACCCTCAGGCTCCTGTGATAACGCTATTGGAGGTGACAGACCTGAGACAGATGCTTTTACAACAGTCAAGTAAACAGACACATAAAGCAATTACTAATAGTATGGAATCATTTCGCAGACTTTGTACACAGTTCTTCATGAAGTATCTTGCTTGACCTCAGGAAAAATGAGTCCATCCGTGACAGATTTAAAATGGAGAAAAATGCATCCAATTCTACAGCTGCAGAAATTCTACTACTGCTGGTGACCAGGTCAGCAAGTGACTTTTGGGTGTCACCTGAGGCGTTAAAACCAGAAAAAGGTACAACAGATACACTTCCATGACCCAGGGATGTACTTTGCTCCGTACTGATACTTGTTTACGTCACTAACCGGAAAGGAAACCCGAGTTTTTCAAACACAATAGATCTGCTCTGCCTTTGAGTCACTCAGTACAGGTTAAAATAATTGTCTTGTTTTCTGCATCATGAAGTAGACTCCTACAAACTCACTCCCGTACTGTACCAGCGCAACAGTCCAAGACACTGCCAGGGCAATGCCCGAGAAGGTTAAAAAACCAGGAATTCACTTCTCAACGGCCTGTTGAAACATTTGCATGGTTTCTTGGCTGAACAGTTTCCTGCACTGCTCTTCTCTGAATCACTGCCTACTCTGTATGAGCTAAACCGACTTCAGAGTTTCATACCTACGCAAGAATGATTCACTGATAGGAGTTAGGCTGCTCCTGGGTGGAGAAGAAAAAGAGAACAGCAAGAAAATCCAAGCAGTCATCTCTTTACTGACAGGTTATAAAAAAGAACAAAAAAGCAAGTAGGTGTCTGATAAGGATGAGCTGCCCTTATAAGCTGCAAGAGCTCAGGAGGCTGTCAGGTATGCAGTTGTTCTGCCAACAGCAATAAATGTGAAACACCTTCCATCCCATTTCCAAGTCTTCTGGCATGGTTTGACCCTCAAATCAGCAACGCATCCTAAGAGATTTCGTTTCTGATGCATTTCAGTTGAGATGAAGCTAGCACAGCAGTCCCAGTTGCTACCAAGAATCCCGCAGAATTTTCTGCTCCGAACACTGGTCCCAAACCTGTGACAGCACCAGTGACTGCAAGCAGTGCTCTTCTGCTGCAGCCTAGGCAGTGGGCCTGTGTCCCTCACCCACTTGTCCATCTTGGAAAAAAAAACAAACCAGAATTATTGAATGCAAGGAAGTTATGGAGTCAAAGCACAGGGTTCAGACCAGAAATAAACCTAAAATTGTTACGCCTCACCCACTTGTCCATCTTGGAAAAAAAAAACAGAATTATGGAATGCAAGGAAGTTATGGAGACAAACCACAGGGTTCAGACAAGAAATAAACCTAAAATTGTTACAAACTAAGGAGATGTGGATAAAGTAGTTAGCCCTTTTCTACCTTCCTTTATTGTCCCGTCAATAAAGTGGGGATATGATAAATCTGAACCATTCCCAGTTTGGGTCTCCATGTGAGGTGTCCAGGTTGACAAGTGACATAGAAGGAAATTCAGCAGCGTTACCACCAGATGATTTTACATGGTTGCTACAGTCAGAGAAACTGCTGAATTACCAACTGAAAGGTAAACTAAACTAAACAAAAATCCCAAGTTATCCATATTGCTTTCCACCTCAGATTTAACTGCTACAAAACAAATTGTTTACCAAGAAACAGAGGCTTTCCTAGAAGGACCAGGGGATGATTTTCCTCAGAAAGGCAGGTTTGGCTAAATATCCTGTCCTGAACAAGCAAAGACAAATTCTCCATCTAACATAGTGGGACTGGCTGAAAAATAAAAACCCCAATCAAAGCCCAGACAAAAAAAAAACATTGGAGGTTGGACTACTTTTGAAGTTTTGCTGGCACAAATGCATCAATTAGGAGCAAGAAAAAAATATCACAGCCTTAGCTGACGTAGCTACGCTGGCCAAAGCCTTTATATAGTGGGAAGGGAGGGAAGAAAAAGGAATACCCATGCCAGGTAGTTTATTGTGGTTTTGGGAAGCTGCCATACATTCTACCTCCCCGAGGAACGTTTATCCATCAAACCATGCCATTGTTGCCATACCACCACACTTTTGTGCTACAAGCGAGGCCCGAAATTCCCCTGGCATTGATAAAAGCTATTAAATAACAATTACTTCGTTAAAAGCAGGGCTTGTTCATCCCAACGCCACCCACTGAAAAGGCACTTCGGGATGTGCTTTATGCAGCTTCTTTACTGGAGAAACGTGTCAGCCACCAGCTGAGTCCAAAGTAGTTTCACGGCGGTTGTTCAACACAACGTGCTTTTCCCCAGTTACTTTGGGAACCCACTGGACTCTCAGGCAGATCTCTTGGGATACAGTGAGGACTCCTGCGTCGTCTCCGGGTCATCACGGCA